TGGTTGAAAAAAGTTGGCATCATCTCACATAAGCCAAATACTTTTTTTTAACATATGTTTTTGGTTGTGTTGCGTACAATAAAATATATAAAAATTTTAAACAACAAAAATTAATTAATTTAAATAAAAGAATATAAATTAAGGACAATGGTAAATATTTTTATCTCATATATTTAAATTAATTAATTTGTGCTCATATGATTTTTTGAAACGGGTGACTATAGTTTTGCAATATATTTACCGTGAACATTCACAAAAGACTGATATTTGAATTTAGCTGCACTGAAACTCAGGACTTAAAATTTTTTGCGAGTAAAACCTTACTCTGAAGATTTTAAGAGCAGTGTTGTTGCTTCACATGTTTACATTCGTAAGTTACGAGTATTTTTTTGCTACTCTAAAAGAAAAAATTACGGCTATTGTTTGCATTAAAAATTGTTATCTATCGCTAAATTCCAATCAACTTAAATATTATTCGATTTAATGTAGATTTCGCAAATCGAATGCTTTTTTGTCGAATTAGTACACAGCTGGGCTAATGTCATTGAAAACTGATAGTAATCAACTACATATTATAAGTTAAAAAACACAATTTAATAAGAGACGCCTTTAGCTTTCGTCTAACTTTTCTGATTTTCTGTCAGAAAATTAGTTGGGTATTCATAATATATATACAAAAGTTAATAAATAACGTAAAAAAAAATTAAAATGAAAGAAAACACAAAATATGGCTATACAATTAAACTATTGTGAATTAAGAATTTAATTCGAACTTAATTTTGTACAACTTACAATTAAATTCATATTCATTTTGGAATTTTGTAACAAAGTGAGTTTGATTCACATATTAAATTCTAGCTTTCGAATTATGAAGAAATTTATATTAGTATATAAATACTATAGTATCGAAAACTTTTTCTAATATTATCAAGAGATATCTAAATAATCGAAGAATCAATGAATGCATATCTTATGAAGAATCTAGTTCTGATTTTAATCAGAAATATTTAATATAATATAATTTTCGTATTAAAAAAATTATCCCAGTTAGTTAAATATAGCTAAATTTTTTATTTAATATATATTTAATGGAAATTATATATCAGTTACGATAGAAAAATTTATAATACCTTAAAGATATTTTTCTGTATATAGGAAAATAGCTTATATTAATTGCTTTGAAATAAAATTTTTATACATATATGTTTATTAATTTATATTGTTAAATATTTTTAATATAAAAATTAAAATCATTTGGTTCAAATATTTGCGACCATTTTCATTCTCCTTTTCGACATTTTCGCTTTCAATTTTATCGATAGCTCTTTCGATAATATTATTGATTGGCGAAAACAAATAAGGCATAGAGCCGCAAAAAAATTATTTAGAAAAAAATAGAATAACAAAACTACGGACGGTATACTTTTGGTTCTTTTTATGTAAATTTGGTTTAAAAATTATTTGAATATTTAAAATTACTTGTGGTAGAAGTGAACAACTTAAAGAAGAGAAAACTTGTAAAACTTTTAACGTAAGATTTTTTTTTTATTAATTGAACTGAAATAGTTTTTGGTATACATAGAGATTTTCTAGAAAGATGAAATAAATATTTTTTTCTTTTCTACTATTTAGGTATTTCACATTTATTTTTTACGTTTCTTGTTTATCTGCTTAATAATTTTGAAATATGACCAACTTGGAAAAGCAAAATGAATTGGTTAAACATAGTCTTGTGGAATTTGTCAGTGCCCATATTCCGGGTGCTGATTTTAGTGTCGTTGATGAAATTGTGTTATCCTATGTTATAGCTATATTAGAAGATGCTTCGCAGGATCCATGTTTTGATGTTGAAGGATTCGTTGAAATGATGAGTGCATACTTTGATGAATTTTCTTCTATTGAAACGGGTGTAATTTGTGAATGGATTTATCAGTTGGCAAATGAATTAGCTGAACTTGGAAAAAATCAAGAAAATCATAATGCTGGAACGTTATCTTTAAAGTGTGTATAATTTTATGAAGTTAATGCATTAATAAATGTATTATTATATTATATTATTTATTTTAAGTGCACTCAGCCTATCTGATATAATACCGGAATCTAAACTACGTGCACGTAAAACATCAAGTTCTGAAAAGGATGACTTTTCTTTAAATGGTTCTTGCGTTGGTGGACACAAAAGGTCACAACATCTGTCTGAAACAAGTGATGGTGGTTCTACTGACAGTTCTTCTACATGCGAATATTTTTTGGATGAAGCTGAAGCATTACAAGAAATGTTTCCAGATACTGCTTATGTTGAGGTAAGTGTAAAAAATATTGCAATTACCGTGAAAAAATATAAGGGAATAAAATATAAAATATATAGTAAGTAAGTGTGTAGGTTTTCTAATAATTGACACTGATACCAATGCAAATTATAATTAAATTGATTTTATGTCATTGATTTTTTATATTTTCGATTGTTTTCAAGTGCATAACCCAAAAGTCTTATACGTTCGTAGGCAATTATTTTTCAATAGATAGTAATATAAATAATATATATAAATAAATACAATGGTATGTAGTAGTGATATTTTTCTTTAAATAATTATTACAAAACATTCCTCCAATTTGTTTATAGATATGTTATATTTATTATGTATGTATACATTATTCCTTTATATATATGTATATAAAAAAAACTTCAACGAATATAAAATATGTTTATATATTAATTTTTATATATAACATAAATGGAGTGTTGTTTTTGAACAACTTTTAAAATGAAACAATTATAAGAAAAAATTTTTTGAGAGTGATTTGAAGTTGACAGTTGAATCCGCTTGTTAAAATTTCAAATACCGATAATGTGTTTATTGTATTGAATGTATAGTTGCAGTACCTTTCTTAAATTATAACTCTTAGTTGGTAGAGTCCCAAAATCTTTGGTATATTATTTAAATTTTCCTTTCCGGTATAATTTAAAAAACTGTAATTGATTTATTCACAGCATTCATTCTCATTAAGTAGACGTTGATTATTAGTGTGGATAATTGACTTCTCCCGAATATCGTATTAATATGCTTTATGCATAATACTTGTTGGGAACATTTAACGCTTTTAAGTAAGTGGTACCTGGTACTTGATAGAATCTTTTGTACCCTTTGCTATGCTATGCTGTCTCTAAATTTTTTTTGAATTAAAAATCCTTTTTGGAAAAATTGTATTTATATGAATTTATTGTTTTGTAAGGAAAATATGCTGTTTTATTGCAAACGCAAATAAATTTTTAGATTAATCAATAATAAGTGTACTCATTTAAATAATTTTCAATAAAATTTCTTAGTTTTTTAATTTCTAAGTTATTTTTTGAGTAAGTTATTTTTTGAGCTAATGTGCCAGAGTTATTTATTAATAAATATATTATTAAAATTTATTTTATATCTTGCAATTCGCTCGACTTATTGTTGAAGTTAATTAGATATAGGTGAGATTACAATATAGTACCGATCCTATGGTTCCATTAAGGCTTTATTGGTTAATTAAATAATAATAAATAAAAAATCAGAAAAAATGGTATCTACTTTTAATACATAGAATAGAATAAATTGCTCTCATCTTTTCAGGTAAAGCATTGCATTGCAATTGCTAAGGGTGATTTAGACAGTGCAACTCAAATATTGTTGCACCGTCAGGAAACTGGTCAAAGTCTCACCGATAAAACTAACAACATAAACACTCGTAAAAATGTTGTAGTTGATGATACTGAACTTAAGAATCGCATAATCGCCAGGTATTTAGAAAATTTTATAATATTTATTTGCTTTGACTAAATTTGCATTGTGTAGATACTCTTACGTAGACAAAAATGCCACTAATCGTGAATACAAACCAATGGTACCAAAAGTTGAACCAAAAAAACTTGTACGTTATCGAGACAATAAGATCGTTTCATTGAAAGGTGAACGCTACACTGAGGTAAAGCGCGACGAAGAAGCTGAGCTAAAAAAACCCAAAAAAGCTATTCAGCCGTAACTAAAGATGATGAAAATGCATTACAAGTATTTCATTAAAAAGCAGAAGAATCAGATTCAGATACATAAAGATGAAACAGAACAAATTTATCAACCATATATATTACTATTAAATAATCACATAAATTTCTGTCACTTTATCAATATAACCATATATCCTATTAATCCAATTGAACATTACTATAAATGTTCATATAATCTTAAGCACATTAGCAGCTGCTATTATCTAAACACAAATAATATTGATAATCTCAACATGCGATATGCGCAAAAATGCAAAAGTATCTTGTACATTAAAACAGAATGTATACAGAGATCTAATACACCTCACAGAACACAAATTGTTCCACCTAACTATACTACACCAAAAATGTCGCCATCATGCATTGACTATAATATGTACAATGCGAGTCATAATATATTAGTGATTTTTCAATTTGCTAGGATAATTGAATATTTTTTGTTAAATTATATTTATTTAAATTTCATATTATATATTAATTTATTTATTTATAATTATCTAAAGACTTTATGTACCAAATTTGTATGTGAAATTTTTAAAGTAAATTATTTCTATGGAAATATTAAGTTAGTTTGCTATTATAATGCATGCAATACGAGATTTAACTTTTTATGAGTTAGATTTTATTTAATTATTAGTTGATTTTACAACTATAGATTTAAATTATTTAATAGAAAGTTATGACATATTATTATTGTTATTATTATTTGTGTAAGTGTGTGTATAAATATCGATTACAAGGAACTAACTTCTGTGACAAATGAGAGTTTTTAAAAGTTATATACAAAAATAATTTATTATTCAAAATTTGTAATAGAGAATTTTTATGAATGTGGAAATAAGTTTCGGAAATATATATTTGTGATTTTTAACTTATCTTTATAAAGTACTGGATTATAGACTTAAAGTTTAAATATTCTTAGGCAAAATATTTATTTGGCTTATGACGTTCCTATAAGAAACTCTATTAAATATAACTCATAAAAATATATGATTCTTTAGATATTGTTAAAGTATTTTTTGAATAAGAAATAAAATTAAAAATATTCCTTAAAGTGGAGCAAACGTAATTATAAGATTATATGAGTTAAAATTTTTAAATTCTGTTATTGCATCTTTATCATTTAGTTAGTTATTTTATATTATTAATTAATTTAAATCGGGTTTCATGTTGTTTATGAAAACTAAATAATACTTAGTTATTTAATGTCATTAAATTATATCAATTCCAAATATTTTGTTGATACTCGACAACTATCATCAGATAAACCGAAATAGTTGATATTAATAAAATTTAATAACATTTAATAATTTATTTGTATTAAAACTTAATAATCTAATAATCTGAAGAAAATCAATTTATAATATAAAATAACTAACTGATAAAAAATTCGATAAAATGTATTAATTATTAAAATTAAATTTTATATTAAATATTAAATTTTGTTTATGAAATCAATTAATTTGATTTAATTTAATGTTTTAACTTACTTTTTAAATTACAGAATTAGAAAAAGAAATCTCTAACTTTTAAGAGTAAGTTATGAAAAATTCATATGTATTTATTATTTTATTATTTATTACATTAACGCAAGTTTGTTTAAAACATTTTTTAAACCTTCACAAAAGAACTTAAATTTGTTTAGTAACATTTAATATATATTTTGTATTCATTTCAATTAAATATAAATATTATGCATTACTTATAGATTGCAATTTAAAGCGGGACTTCAAAACGAAACGAAATCGTAAATCAAAAAAACAAAAAAAAAAAAATAAACCAATCTATAATAAAAAAAACATTAAAAAATAAATAAAAAACTATATAAATTAATAACATATTTATATATCAATCGAAATAATTCTAACTGCAAAATTTTTAAACTTTTAATAAAATTTTATAAAATTTATATATTACAATTTAAACTTATAATAAAAAATTTTTGATCATTTTTGCTGGAACGAAATTGAACCAAAAAAAGATATTGATTTATTTTGGTCCGTCATCGTACAGTTCAATACCTATTCATTTTATTCATTAAAAAAAATTGTTTTTATTTGAATTCGAAGCACTTTCGGTTTTTATTAAATAAATTGGTTTATTACTTTTTTTAAAGATAATTAATAAAATTCTTTTAACTATTATTAACATATTATACTAAAATTAATCTGTTAATAAACACGAAAAATATTTACACATAACCAAAAACTGTATAAACCCATATTTTTTGCTGGAACCAAAACCGAAACCCAACTGATTTTTTTAATTGAACCAAAACATAAATATATTCGGTTCGAGGTCCTGCTTAAAGTAATAATTGTTTAATAATTAAAATTACGAGCATCTAAATAAATAATTACATATCCACATATGAATGTATATTTATATATAAAAGCAGATTTCATATCTATTAACTACTACAACAAATTATAATAAAAACTAACTCAAACTATTTTCGGAAAAACATTGTGGTAAATATATTATGTTTAGAAAACAAAATTTCTGATATTATTATGCTAGAAAACATATTGTTTGTTTTATTTCAAAAATACTTGTATACGACTATTTTAATTAAGTTTCTTACATACTTAAATGTTTAAATTTATATGTAACTTAAAGTGAAATAAAATGCTTTTTTAATTTAATTATAATTTTGCATCTTATAAACAATTATTCATTATTAATTAGGTTTTAAAATTAATTAATACAATTTAAGTTTTGTTTAAACACATTTTGAAATACTTAAGTACCTTGTAACTAGATATATACACACACAATCAAAAACGAGCTCAAATAGACTTATTAAATTTGTAATTATATTTATATATATGTATATCGAATATTTAATTTTAAAATGGACATTAAGAGAAAGAACAAAAATGAACGATTTGAAATCGTTATAAAAATATAAGCCATTAATGTTTAAGTTTTTCTATGTATTTATGGGAATATTGCAGAGACTTTTACTTTTATATTGTTAATATTGTTTTTGTTTATGTTATTATACTATTTTATTTTTTAATATTTAATATTTAATATTTCTTACTCAAAGAACTCGAATGCAAAAAAAATTCAATTATCAAAGTACCGCTTGCCAATAAAAAAAATAATTGCAAAATTATAAACTCACTTGTACGAACTTAAAATCGTAATTATGTCAATGCTAATGATGATGATGGTGCTAAATTGCAACTAAAACACATAAACATACACATTAATCTAACTACACGAAAAAATCAAATCAAAACATAACATATATGTTATATAAGATACTATATGTAGTTATAATGCATATAAGTATGAAACTCATTCAAGTATTCAAATTCAAAACAAAAAAAAAAAAAACAAAATTAACATGATTAAATTAATGTTGTAAACTTAGTGTGCTTCTATGTAATTCCTAAAACTTAAAACAAAAAATTAAAAATGTTTAAATGTCGAATTTTTAAACGTAACTATCTCACATAAAAAAAAACAAAGAAACAAAAGATACTTGTCTAATTGACAGGCAAATATTATCACTTATACATTTTTATCTCACTAAAGATTTTGATGAATTTATAAGTAATTAATTATATTTAGTAATTACACACATTTTTAGCATACAAATTTAACATTTTATATATAAAATTATTTAATATTAATTTCATTTAATAATATAGATTGTTAGTCGTTATGGATTGTTTCATTTTATTCAAATTCGTAAGGCAGCATTTCTCAAAACATATTTATTTACTTTTAAATATAAATACATATATTTGTTTTAATAAATATGCTTAATTACTTGATATTATATAAAGTAAACATATCGTACTATTTTTGTTTTAAAATACTTATTTCATTATTTTTATTATTATTATTATATATTCTATAATTACGAAAAAAGACGTATATTACTCACTACATTAAATGTTTATATTTAGTTTAAATGTTATTTTATTCGCGTTTAATAATATTTAATTTTTTTATAAATATATAACAATTGATATTCATTTTTGTGAAAAGGAAAAACTTATACATTTGGTTACTTCTAATTTGTATTATTTTTTATTTGTGATACTAGCTTAAATTAACTTGAATTAAAATTTTTGAAATTAAGAAATTAATAAATTCAAAATATAGCTATCAACTTTAATGGATATTAAATATAAAAACGTTTGTTTCATTTAAAAATATTCGTAGATAGTTTAATATATAAGAAACGATGATCATTTTTCACCAAGATAGTTATATACCATCTTCATTCTATCGAAATTTAAAACCATTAATTCCATTTACCATTCTTAAAGTATTTTTAGGTCATTGGAATTAAAACAGAGACTGATGTTTAATGAGTTTCATGAGTTGGTTTTAAAAATTGATTTATTTATTTATTATTTATTTGTGAGTTAACATTAAAATTAATTTTAAAGTTAACTAAGAATGAGGAATTGTACTGCTAGGACCTTCGCCGTTGGTTTTAAAAATTGTTTTTCCATGGCCAGCGTTAAACGTTAAGGATAAACGATTTTTCAATTATCTAGTCGTGGAGGATAACTAACTAAAACGTTGAAATTTAAACAGAATAAGCTTAATTTGTGTTGGTTTTTATCATTCTTAAACTTCTACATACTTGTAGCTCCGTCAAGGTAAGATCAAGTCTCTCTGAACCTTTTGATACCATGCGAGGCTTCAGACAAGGTGATCCCTTATCACGTGATCTCTTTAATTTCATCATGGAAGTGATCATGCGCAGGCAGGTGTTCAACGTAATGGAACAATATTCTACAAATGTGTCCAGCTCCTTGCTTACGCCGACGACATTGATATCGTTGAGCGTAGCAAGAGTGATGTTACAGCTACTTTTGTTGTTATCGAAAAGGAATCTGCAAGAATGGGGTTAGAAGTGAATGAGGTCAAAACAAAGTATATGTCGGCTACTGGTAGAAATGTGAGTCGTTCGGACGCCGAGCTAGTGGCTGGTGACTATACTTTCGAATCTGTCAAGGATTTCATCTACCTTGGCACCGCCGTAACGAACACCAATTATGTCAGCCTAGAGATTAGACGAAGAATCACCATTGCTAATAGGTGCTACTATGAGCTCAGTAAGTAATTGGGATGCAGAGCTCTCTCTCAACAAATGAAACTTATGCTCTATTTGTCGCTCATCCTCCCTGTGCTTCTGTATGGCGCAGAAGCATGGACGTTATCACAGAATGATGAAGCAGAAATGGAAGTGTTCGAGAGAAAAGTTCTTCGTAAGAACTTTGGCCCTCTATGAGTTGGCGACGACTACGGCATGAGAATGAACCACGAGCTGTACGAGCTTTATCACGACATTGCTATAATTCAGCGCATTAACATTCAGCGGCTTCGCTGGCTTGGTCATGTCGTGAGAATGGATGAAGATGCTCCAGCGAAAAAGGTGTATGAAGCAGTAGTTGGCGGAAGAGGAGAGTTAGACC